GCTGCTGGTTTACTGCTGCCTTGATTAGTACGTTGGTTTGTGTTATTGTGTTACTTTGATTAGTTTGCATTCACACAACTCACATAATATCGGAATTAATTAATGCAGACTTTTCTGATGTCCTTGGCAGGAGCTACAGATCAGTAAGAAACATCAATTGTAAAGCTGTCTAACAGCAAGATATAGCAGTGGAAATGTTTAGAACTAGCAGACTCTTCAGCTGATATTGACTTTTTTTGTGGTGGGACTTATTTTGTATTTGTTTTGCTTACGCCCAAATCCACAGCAGTACATTGCTGTGCTTCAGTCTGGTAGCTCATGTCTGCTTCTCTAAACTGGGAAAATAATTGCAATACACTGACTTTGGATAAGTACCTCATACAACCCCATTTCAAAACATCCGAACTAACCCTTTTATGACGTGTGTAATTTGGAGTCCTATGGACATCATTGTGATTCATAGCAGCATTTTATTTACAAAGCTAACTTTATGTATGGTCCCTGTGTCTGGTTGCAGTCATCCATGTGGCCTGGAGAAAAGAATGCATTGTGCTGATGGCTCAGGAAGTAGTGTCTAGCTTTCAATGTGGATCAATGACCATCGCCTTGAGACACAGACACCATTCTATTTGGGATGATAGCTTGGGGAAAAACAAGGTGGGGAAGGTAATACAAAATAGAAACCCAGGCAGGCGCTGTCATGGGAATAACATCTAAATTGATTTCTGCACCATGCTCATGTTAACATTTCATTCCTGCATCAGGGTTTGCTATACTGGCTACTTAGATTGAAAAAAGGTGTTCTGCCCTCTTGGCGTGTTTGTGTGTCTCTTTGCTTGTTGCTAGGTTATGGTGATTCTCTAAACAGCGTAGGTTGCTTTGAGTTAAATACATTTAGGGACTGCAAAGGGTATTTCACACCAACCTCTGGTTTCATAGCCTCTACTCGGCTTGCAAAACAATTACAGGTCACACACGATTGTCTCTGTAGCTTATGCAAGGAAACGCCTGCCTGTTCTTGGCACTGTATGGAGTGCCAGCACGGCACTTAGATTTCACCTACCTAAGTGAAATGATAGTGTTGAATCTAAATGAGGCATGCTCGGCCCTCCAGGGTAGCTCTGTCTCCTCCTGGTCCAAAGACGCTGTCCTTCACATCCCTGCTTGCCCTTGTGCATGTCAGTTGCATAGCAGAGAAGGGAGCAGCTCATTGGCTGAGGGTGGAATTTGGAAAAGCAGCTCCATCCTGCGCCCATTAGGCAATCACCTTTACCATTACCCCGGACTAAAGCTGTTTCTAACTCTACTGCATCCGTGTGTTCGTATGCCAAAGTAGGTCATTAAATCTCAACAACTTAAACTGGAAATCATGTAGTAGTTTCATAGTGGATCGGATGGTAACTAGCGTGACCAAATGTGTTATATTTTTAAGCGTGTCATACCATTTCAGGGGCTTATTAAGGAACACTTTTGGTTGAAAATGTATTTCAGAATAAATTGCAAATGTATTTCAGAATACATTGACTATTAAGTGCAGGTATCGTGAAAGCGAGATACTGCATGAACTCACTGGCATGGCCAAACTTTTCAGCCAGTGTGTAGGCAGGACAAATGCTCTAGCTTTCCTTTCCATGGTTCAAACTTTAGATAAGTTCACGGCATCATACTGTGTGTGTGGGCAGGTTTGGACTGACAGCACAGTGCTTTGTCTCTGGCAGGAAGCCTGAAGGCCAGGCTGCTGTTGTGAACTCTCCATACAAACTTGGACAGACAACATTATCATCTGACCTCAACGAAAAATAAAAAAATGAAAAAGTGTAAAAACATTCTGCACTGGTACACTCGCACATGTACCCGCGAAAGAGTACTAATGTACAAATAGTAGAAAATATATTTTGCAACAAGGTGATATTTTAAATATAGTTTCACTTGTGTATGTAAAAACCTTGATGACTAAACATGACATAAGCCAAGGCAATAGTAAGACATAAAGGGGCATTTTCTTTAGTTTTGTAGGCATACATTGCACGGGGGTCAGTACATGTAAAAAAACACACATGCACTTCTGTGTTTTCATATGTAATAAGACATTTTACGTAAGTCTAAGCCTGCGTTGTGTCCAATTCTAATAACAGCAGACTGCTCACACCGTCTGTGGTGACCACAGAGGCTTTACGTCCCCTGTGTGTCTCCATGGAAAGGTCATGAAAACAAATGAATGAATGCTGTACAGTTGGACTAGATTCATCTGTCTGATGAAAATATACTGCTACACGCCCCTCAGGCTCGAAGCTATGTACTATTAGCTTCTCTCTCTAGATGATTCATTTAAAAATCCAGCTCCGTCATTCAAACCAAAAGTGGAAGACAATACAGAGTCCGTGTGACGACGTCCATCCGGTTGTGTGGAGACAATGCTATATAAAAAAAGCAAGTTTAAAGGGGATATATTAAGGGTCTTTTTCATGTTTATACTTTGGAATTTCCACTTGAATATGTTTAGATGCTTTAATGTTTAAAAAAAAGCTCTATTTTTCACATACTTCCTGCTCTGTTTTAGCCTCTATGTTTATGAAAAAGCCCAGTTGCTATGCTCGGCTTGCAAGAAAAATATAGCACAGTTTTGCACATATGCTCTTGCCTTTTATGTAGTTGTGTGCGGTATAGACTGATAATGTGACAGAGGAAGGGAAGCCAAATCTTAATGCCTTGTTGAATCCCATATTTTAAATATAAACACACTGGACTTTTATTTCCCAGTCTGTTGGATGCCCTTCAGATACCCAAATGTATCTTCACAAGCACTAAAAAAACGGACGTTTTCATGCCATGTCCCCTTTAAGGGAGTCTGTGGCGTCACTGGTGTCCCTGGTGGGGTCTGGTTGCTACACCTTTGGTTGACACACGAGGGTAAAAATAAGGTGAGGAAAGCAGGAGGGAAATAAATTGTCATTATGGCGGCTGCTGACAATCATGGACTGCCAAGTCATTTCGCTGACAAGTGTGTTGGTGGTTGCCGGTCATGCCGCAGTGTCATGGGACCATGGCAGTGATGTATTGTGTACCCATCAGTGTGTGTGATAATTTGTCACAAACGATGCCGTTTCAGCAGGGCACTGGTGTGTTTCACTGTGTTAAGGTACAGTCTGTTGAGAAAGAGTAGCTGCAGGCTGCTTTGTATTAGTTTTTCTTTATGATGATGTCAATGCAGTCTTGAAAGTATCACATGATCATCCTGAACTGGCAAGTTAGCTTTTTAGCTGTAATTGAGTATAATGACATGTCATTTCGCAATTTTTTATTCCCAATATACAAAATAATGGATCCCAAATGTCCCCTAAAATCAGTCCGACTCATTCATTTTCAGGCCATTGAACAGCTTTCATTGAGAAGAAGCTTGAGCGTCATGATGATGCTCCTAGTTGTCCAGCTCCAGTGGAAGTTAATTGTAAAGGCGACATTTACAGTGACTCATTCATGACGACTATAATTATAGAGCGTAAAAGCCACTACAGGTAAGCAGGGTGCCCTTTCCACAAATTATAGTTTGCTACAAAATGAATTAAAGGATAAAGTGCAAAGACAGTAAGTGGAGTGTCAAAGAGGAGTGGAGGCTCCTACTAAAAGCTCTTAAAGGCAACCAAGCATTTAACTTCTAAAAAGGGGGAGGGTTTGTGTTATACTTCAGATACCCTTGGAAGTTACTTATTTAAGTTTTATGAACAACATATTCTGACGCCTTCTGCACACGTCTGTATGAAACAGGTTGTCCTTGCTGTCAGGCGTTGATTAGCCGTCCGGCGTGATGTGGACATGGCTGGCTCTGTGTCTCGGCGGGAGGTCGGCAGGACTTGATGGATGTCTCTTTTGAGATTGCAGAGCCCCGCTGAGAGGGAGGAGGACCCTGCCCCTGTTATCTATTCATGCTGTGTTCCTTTCTACTCTGCCTAAAATGGAGCAGGACCTCCCTCCACAGCACGAGTCCCATCATTTCTGGATAGAGCTAAGGAGTGCATAAAAGAGAAAAATAAAAAGGCACCTCTTCCATTCTTGATCCCAGAGCACCTTTTAAGCAAGCATCCACTTAGTTCTTGCATAACTAGAAAGGCAGAAATCCCTTGATTTTCTACACAAGCACTGCATTTGAGGATAATCTTCGCAGTGCGACGTTTGCAAGTCTCTCTGTACCCTCTCTAAAAATACATACAGAAGCAGACACACACACACACTTCATTTACAGCCACACACACACTTCATTTACAGCCACACACACTTCATTTACAGCCACACACACACACACACACTTCATTTACAGCCACACACACACACACACTTTTGCACCAGCTCAATAAGACTGCAGGACAGTGAATCCTATTAGATATGAGAAAACAAAGAATGGGAACGGCTCATTGAGGAGGAAAAAACACACTCTCGCTCCCACCCTTTGCATATTCCTTCACGATTCTGGCAAGACCGCTGGGAGATTGATGTGTCTGTCTTTTTCATACCTTCTGTAACTAGTGAGCGAGGCGCCGGGCTCCACGAGACTAGCCAAATTCCTGAATGATGAATGTACACTGGTGCGTCCACTGGGAGAAGAAACACATTTCATATCAGCCGAGAGAAGAGTTTGATATTGAATATCATCAGGAATTTCGCTTGCGACAATATTGGAAATCTTTATTCTAATTGCATGGATGAATTGAATATGCTGTTCTGATAAATCCTCTGTGCCACAAAGGGACTTGTATAAATGAAGCATCGCAGATTTGTTTGTGTGTTTACTGCATGTGAATGTTTGTCTGCCCGTAAGTCATTTTCACACTCGCCTTGTGCTGTTGATGATTGCCTGTTTAGTCAAGCAAAAACTCACCACAATGTTAACATATCGTATAAATGAAACTGACAAGATCTTCTACCCGCATATTACCACATATCAAATTGTCATACGAGGCACATTTTTCAAAAATATTAGTTTTATGAAGGAAAGGGAGACAGCATATCAGTATAGAAAACCATTTTTATTTCTCATAAGGCTGTCCTGTAATGTACTTGTATATCTACTGGGGGTTATCTGTATGTTTCTCCATTGTGGCTTATACTTTCTCACTGTCATTTTGAATAAATCATCTCTCTCTGGTGTGTGAGAGGGAGATCCACACAACACATTTAGTCAAGCATTTGCCCATGACAACCTTCCATAGCTGAAAAATACACTAACTGTCTGATTATGGTCCGAGTTTTTCTGCTGCTGTTCTACGTCCCTTCTGGATCTGAGGGCTCAGGGGTTGTTGTTAGTGCAGCTTTCTTTTGTGAGGCAGTTCTATACAGTGTTTTCCTCATCTTTACAGAAACTACAAGCATTAACTGGCTTAACCAAGGACATTGCTGTATGACAAAAGCTTACTTTTATGACTGTTGAGGATTTTTTCCAATGCGAGCGTTAACTGCAAAGCAGTCCTTTACACAACAGCCTCTGGATGAACAATACTTATATTCTGATCAATATTCCACCAAGGGGCTCCTAATAGAGTCTTAAATATATTTTTCAGCTTCTTGGATCTGGTATCTTATATGTGATGTATTTATATATGTATATATACACAAATTATCTTACATACAAAGAAAAGAGGTGCTCATGAATTTACAACGGACATGCCCACCATTTAAAGTCAAAATGTCCATGTGGGGCTTTAAGCCTCTCAGAGATTCTTCATTCACTCATAATACGCTGCTGGTCTCCTTCACTGATAGTCCAGTGTTTTTCAACCACGTCCTGCTCGAAGAGTGGGTCGAATACGAACGCCTCCCACACAGAAGGAAAAGGATACCAAGGTATTTTCATCCGCTTGCTCTCAGTTCTGTGGAGCCCATGTTCAGGTCCATGTAAGCTCACAAACTGATTTACCTTCACGAGGGGCAAATGTCTTAAAATAATGTTTTGACAACCTCTAAATATCCCCTGCTAAGCTCTTTCAGTTTTTGAGGGGGAAACGGGTGAGGGAAACAGAAAGAGAGTAGGTCAAAAACTAGCCACAGCTGTGAGGAAGAGGAGAGTCACCAACATGGGGCTCATTGATCAAACAAGGGATTAGTCTGGTTTCAAATCCTTGGCACCACGCAAGCAAAGCTGTTTTATCTGGGTGGATATCCTTTCTGTGGTCCCAGGTAATCCAGTCAGTAGCCGTGGATGTAATAGTTGTAGTCCGTTTGGTGGGAAGAGAAAGGGTAGATGAAGGAAAGAGCCTGGCACGCAGCCCTGCAGTGGAAGCGCTCTGTTAGGTCCTGGGATGAATCTGCAACACAGAGGAGGAAGAGGAGAGGAGAGAAAACACACATACACTTAGATAGAACAAAGGAATACAAGTGTGCGAGGATTAGACCCTGGGGAATTGCTCCGTTCGCGTTTTTCAAAAACAAGGGGGAGTCTTTTGAACTGTGGAGGCTTTAAAAGCCCCGTCTCACCTCCCGGTTCCTACTGAAAACAGTGCTGGAATAGAAGTGTGCTTGGCATTTATAGGTATAACGGGAAACATGATGAAAGCACTTGGTACAAAACAACCTCAGTGTGTTTCCATGCTGTGCAGTGGCGGACTCGGGCTTTCTAAGAGGCACAAAACATAAAAAGGGCACCAGCTGCAGGTGGCGGAGCACCAGAGTACTTTCCTAGAAGGTAGAGAAGCCGACATGGAGCTGCATCATGTTTTCTATATTTCTGGGCCATCCGACATGGCACTTCATCAAACTTTCTCTACTCAAAAGAATCTTCATTACATTTTCTCTACTATAAAAAGGCACCTTAAAGGGGATTAAATCTCTAATTGAGGGGCACTTCATGTTTTCCGTTCGACTGGAAAGGTACCCTAAAGGGAGACTTATGACTTGTGTTCTACCGGAAGTCAACCTAAAGCACACTGCATTACATTTACTTCACTGAAGTGGCACCTTAAAAAGGGGACTTTAACGTGTGTTTTCTACTGGAAGGGCACTCTCAAGGACACTTCATCAAAGTTTCTCTCCTGTTAGGTCAATATTGCAGGTAGTTTATCACATTTTCTCTACTAGAAAGGTGCGTCAAAGAGCAGTTTGTCATGCCTTCTCAACTTGAAGGGCATCCTAGAGGACACTTAATAACGTTTTTAGGGCATCCAAGAGGGCACTTTTGCAATCTTTAGAAAATGGGCCGGCTTTCTCGCTACCCCTCTCCCTTAATCAACCAGTATGTCTGCTTTGCACACAATTAGATCTTTCACTGTATCTCGGACCATTTTTAGCAACATCCCCAACGTCCCCCACCCTCCTTGGTTTGCACCTTCAAAACAAGACCTTTCCTCCGATTTGACAAAATGACTTTGGCTTTGCTAAATGGGATCAGGGCTCCTGCTGTGGAGTCTGAGCTTTTTCTGTGCCTCTGGTTTCAGGACTCTTATTGAGCCTCAGTTGCAGACCCGGGCACATTTCAATGGTACATTGTGCAACCTTGAGACTGCCATTGAATGTACTGCTTTTTCTGCATCCTGCTCAACCTTAAGCTGTCATCTATAAACCATGTGCATGATGTCTACAACAGTCGATGTCCCTGTCCTTTCATGAACATGTATTCAGCTAAAGCATATTTCTATTCCTCACTTTCATCATATTTTTGAGTTATATTAATGCTTTGAAAATGAACAGTAAAGACATCTGAAGTTTCCTGCACACTGTGGGGCTAATTAGAAATCCCATAATCCTGTTTAAATAAGAAATACAGCCATGACATTTCCAGCAGGCTTGGCAGGTGGTCGCCAGGTGTGTGGATTTGATTTTGAATGGTGCTGCTTGGCTGTAGCACACAGGGCATCTCAGGGCGACAATATGTTGAACATGCTGGCAAGAGAGCTAAAATGATTTCATTGATAATTTTCTGTACATGGATTTATGTGCACATGTATTTAACGACAGTGTGTGTTATTTTAAGAAGCTGCTTCATTGAAATATCAGAGAAGCATTAGACTTCATAATTCAGGGTTTATTTAGAAGAAATGTAGGTATGTAGGAAATGTAAGTATGAGGCGGCTATGGCTCAGGGGGGAACATTTCACCGATCTACCAATCAGCGTGTCAGTGGTTTGAGCCCCTGCAGTCAATATGCTGGAGTATCCTTGGGCAAGATACCCAGCCTCAAACTGCTACCATAGGCAAGTCTGCGGTATTGTGGGTTAGTCACTTTGTATGAAGGCTTTAGCTAAATAACATGTGAGATCATGTATCTCTCAAAACATCATGATTTAGATTTATCTGTTTGGGAGTTTGATTTGATACACTTTGGTTTTCACTTCTCTCACTAGTCGTTTAAAGAAAATCCACTTACACCAAGAATAGAGGAATATGTGATCAGTCCCATGTGTTAGCCAAACAATGTAAAGACATTGGACGTCTTTGTAAAGGTTTAAGTTCGGTCTAGGATAAGGGTACTTGTGTTATTGTTTTGGTACAGATTCAGACATTTTACCACAGGTTTGACTAGTTTCTTTTCACATGGACTTTTGCAATTTTTGGATTTTGAAATGTGTCCTTTAAGATTTTCTCTTACTTAAATAACACATTCACAGGGTTGCACCCCCTTCAAAGTACTTCACTTTGTCTGAGGGTTACCAATGCTAGAGTGCAACACCATTGGCAGATTCTTTTTTGAAGACTAGACGACTTGTTAAGAAAGATGTAAAAATAAGCTCTCTCTCACAGCCTCCTCTTGTGGAAACACTTAGCAGCACTGTCCCTTGCTGACAACATCATTCCTATTTAGGAAGTTGCACAGCAGCTGTTCCTCTGTGTGTTCTAAAAAGCTTCACAGCCTCAGATTTAACATGCTGATTTCACCTCAGGTCTTTTCACAGTTACTTTCTCTGTACAGAGCTGGTCTTTCTTTCCCCCTATGATCCTTAAACACAGTAATCTTACAGGCTCATCTGTCCAGCATTTGCTTCTGTATCATCTACTGATGTAGCAGTGAGTGACCTCTGTCAGAACAAGAGCAGTAACAGGTTACACATTACCCGCTCTCTTTTTCAGACACTATCCACCAGAGGTTTGTTAGTGGGAGAAAAGGGGTTGTATGCAAATTCTGTCATTTCAGCCCAGATGCGCACGTGTGTGTGTGTGTGTGTGTGTGTGTGTGTGTGTGTGTGTGTGTGTGTGTGTGTGTGTGTGTGTGTGTGTGTGTGTGTGTGTGTGTGTGTGTGTGTGTGTGTGTGTGTGTCTAAAAGTGTCCTCTGTTCTTTTTTGTCCTCTGCTGCTTCAAATGAACCGGGCAGCAGGTAGCAGCGGATTGCTTAAGGATTTCCTGCCTATCCCATCTTTGCTGGCAACTAAGCCGTCTGCATTCTAATTCGCTGGCCGCATTAAATTGCAATTTACTCAGACTTCAGTTAGTAAAAGGAGCCAAGGACAATTGTCTTAGCAAAAGAATTTAGTGCAAACACAGCCTACCCTTTTCCCCTTTCTTGTTTAGTGCTGAACAAATCAATCATGCAAGCTGAGAAACTTCTTCAAACTGCACTACAACAGACCGTGTACAAACAGAAGACAACAAAACACATCAAGTTCCATTTAATGTGACATTGACAATGGAAAAAGAAAAAGTGTATGAAATAATCAGTATCAACCCCCCTTCCCTAAATCCGTATAAAATGTAATAAGGATGACAATCTGGCCATTCCTCAGTTCGGACTGCCTTTGTCAGTTCATAACTTAATACAGGGCTGAAGCTGGAGAGGTGTTGTCAAGCACACTGATGGGACAGATGATTTCTCTGTGACGTTGAACTGTGTGTGGCATGGCCGCTCGGAGTTCATTTTGATCAAGTGCGGTCTCCCGATCTGACAAATGAGATGGTGATGCGTCTGCTGGCAGGTCTCTTTTGCTCTGAAAGTGTCTCACAGATGGGCTACATTCTGTCACAGTGTGCTGTTTAGCTTGAAAAAGTGCCCTCCGCTCTTTTCAAATAACAGACACGTGGGTGTCTGAACAGGAGGTAAATCATGTTGGACCAGTTGAATAGGTAGCACAGTGCAAAGCGTGAAAAATGACGGTGCATAGAAAGGCTGTGTGTAACATGGGTTATATATATCAGTGTAAGAAAACTTAAAATAACTCATTAAAATTAATTGAGTACCTGATGAAGGCTGTATTAAGTATGTATGACATTCCTGTCTTGATACTGAATACATTTTCTATTTAACACATCAAATGAGCGTGATTTTGCTCACTCTCATCAAAAGCAGAATGAATGGGGAAAACAGCCTTTTCATTACTGCCCCATTAATTCTGCCTGTCTTTCTGAAGGTGTATAATTGTTTTGAAAGGAGGAGAAATGGATTGATCTATGTAGCGAGTGGATTGGGTAAGGTAAATCTAATGTGGGCGAGTGTTTCTGGAAGCTCCCTATGTCTCGCTCTCACTGGGACTTCCACAAACAAAAGGGCCTGCCTTGTACTGTATGCTGTGACAGAACAGGCATTGAAGGGCTCTCTCTGAAGGACATGAGGAAAAAGAAAATGAAGAAACACGGGTGTGAGCATCTGGCTTGGTTTCGGCTTCTTAGTTATTCTGCCAATTTTCTTTAACACAAGATGGCGATGAAATCTGTTTTCTGGGTAACATGTGTATGTGCCTGTCTTATTTTGCCCGACTGACATTTTTCGGAGCAAAATGGAAACTTGCAGATGAAATAAAATGGCTGAGAATAAAAAAAAATGCTGTGTTGTGGGTTTGCTGGCTTATGACGGAACAAATACAAGTGAGATGATTTGGTCTGAGGCAGGTGAATGAGGAATGTTGATTAAAAAAGAGCGCAGGATAAAAGGCCTTCCATGTAGCCTGTGGGCTATGCTGTGTGCTGATGGCTGATTCAACAAGACCCTCAGAGGGGGATCAGGATATCAAGTGGACTCTGATATGAAGAAACACAACCGAAAAGGGAAGAGGCCTTGCCCGGGGGTCTCACACACATTTGGAGCGCACACAAACACAGACATATCAAACACATCAAAACACGTGCGTTCATACACAACTACGGGCACACACAGAGAGGAGCATGTCACAGATTAGCGACTAATGGGATTGGCAGAGAGGTGTAAGGCACTGTAATCAAGCCCACACAGTGGCCAATAGCAAAAACAGGACATGGAACAAAGGAGGCGATGAAAGGATGTGCGACTGATCCTGCCATTACAATATTCACAAACAGCAGGGTTCTGCTGAGGGGCGGACTTGGCTCAGTGTGTGTGTTTCTAGAGTTCTCCAGGAGTGTGCTGCCACCGTACATGCACGCTTACTGACTGATATAGTGCACCGTTTATGTGAAAATGCAGATACTTACTTTTTATTTATGCGTGCATTGCCGGCGCTGGGTGATAAATATTTACAGTGGGTGGCGGTGCGTTCAGTATTTGTGTCACGCCTGCCTAATCATGCACAGCATGTAAACACACACTTGATTATTTCGCACTGAGTATTTGGGTTAATGAGAAGTCATTGAACATGAGTTGGTCCCACTCCCCTTGCATTACAGTGATGTGTGAGAGAGGCGGGAAAACAAAAGAAAACATAGAACAGCTTGAGAGAAAGACTAACCTTTACAGAAGCAAGAATGCAGCTCAATTTCTGTTGACCCATCCTCTGCATTTTGCTTCCGGAAGCTAAAAAGGGGAGTATGGCTGGGTATTCTGCAAAGAGAGGGTCAAGAAAAGAAGGACACGTGTGTATTGGGTAGAAAAAGCAACTGACCTTTAGGCCCTCTTCTCTTTAAGGTTTTAATAATGTTAGACCAAAGCCATAAACTCATAAATATAAATATTCCTCCTCCTCCAGAAATGTACAGGCTTGATTGAACTATGTCAAAAAAACTCTGTTAAATAAAGACAATCATATTTGACTTAAAGGTGGATTAGGTACGTTTGAGAAACCGGCTCGAGATACACTTTTTGTTATATTCCATGGAATGCTCTTAACATCCCGATAGCAATGAATATCTGAAGTGCTTTGACAATAAATACATTAAAAAAACGTCATCTGTGGAAGCCGTGGTGCTGTAAAAAGCACGACCAATCATCTGAGCCGGCCCGGCTAAAATAACTGGATGGCCTACCTGCCTGTCAGCCTTCCATCTGTGCACAAACTTATCTCGTGCCCTCATTGGTCATGTGCGCGTTCGTGTGTGTTGGAGGAGGGGCTCTGTAAGGAAGTGGCAGATTTCTTCCGGCTGTGTATTTTCAAATTCTAGCACTCGAGCTGGTTTCTCCAAAATTACCTACCCCACCTTTAATTCAGATTGTGCAAAGGATTGAATTGAGAATTAGAGATGCATTCTTTAAAGCGAACCAAGCACTACGCCTTACCTCGACGGGATGGCATTAGATCAACGATCTGAACATTTTGGTGGCTGAACGGGTCCAGTGAAAGCTTTATGTTTATTTGCTGACGTATAAATCTGCAGATCAACCTTGGGAAGCCCCGTGTGGTCTAACCTTCACTGGCTGTCCCCTCTTTCCCTACAATCTCATAAGTCTCTGCTTCTATTCAAAGTCACCACGCACTAAGAGAAGACAGGGGTCCGCTGGGGTTTGTGGGGTGGGGAGTTAATTAAATGAATACAAATCGGGTGATCAACCTGTCACAGAGTGCTGGACTGCTGGCTTCGAGGACTTAACTCCCTTCATTACTTTTGCATGCCGCATTCGGAGTCAGTTTACAGAGCCGAAAGGCAGTGAGAGGCAGAGTGGCAGTTAACTTTATTTCCAAGAGGAGTGTGGCCCGAGGCAGAGCCCACCTGTTTGTTTACTGCCTGCTTTATGTTTGTTCTTTACTACTAGAGGCCCATTAGATGGGTTGGAGACACTGAAAAGAGTCCACCTTATTACACATGGGGCAAAGGATGCTTTCTGAGAAGTGTGACACCTCCCACAGCTTTGACAATGTGCATGTTTGAATTTTGAATGGCAGATGATTCATTAAGAATCAAGCAGGCAGTTGGCAGAAAAGCTTTGTGAAAGCACTACACAAAAGTATTCAAACACAGCGTGGTATCTCGTGATTTCCTCATTTCAGGGCCCTGAATGAAGGTAGATAAGTAAAGTGAAATCTGTCTGGCACTGTGTGAAAATGAGTGCTGTGGATTTTGAAAGTGTTTTAAGTGTATGTGTGCCTGCATTAATTGTGCATAATATAGTACATACGAAATAGACATTAGCTTGTGTTGCACGTGTGCATCTGTGCGTGCAGGTAGATGCATTTGTGCTCAAGTGTGTGTGAGGTCTCACTCTTGTGGTCTTGATTTTGTTCCCAGAGGAGCACATCCATCCAGAGTTGTCGGGCAGAGTCTTACACTCTTCTCCCTCCAGACACGGCTCCATCTCGCACCACCACTTCCCAATTACAATGGATGCTGGGGAAGAGGAGCACAAACACACATCAGGTCAGCTTATCATACACACACATTCAAAAACAATATGTATGCACATATAGATGCCAAAGACGAAGATAAACAGCACATAGAGTAGATACAAAAAGAAACAACTTGAAGCACAAAAGTCATAATTTACTGAAAATGTTTTAAAATTTTAAATAAAAATACAACTTAAGCGGATTGAAAATGTAATACAACTATAACATGTATTAACTTACAACAATAGTGTAATAAAATGTCCAGACTGGTATTGGAATACAAAATCTTTATATATTAGTTTAAAAGCAATAATAATTCAGGTGTCTTCTTTTTTCTTTAAAAAACTGATAATTTAATCAAATTGGATGAAAGAAATGACCCTCTCAAAAGTATGTTTTTTATCCTTAGAAATACTAACTGTGCAAGTAAAGAAGATGTATAGGCCTTACATTGTTAGTGTACAGCATTATCCATAACCCAAATGCTATTCCAGTGTTAGTATTAGTGAATTATAAGTTAAGCTATTGGGTTTGATTACATTCTCTATCAGTATAAGAGCAAATTACAGCAAATTGTAGGGACATTATTGCACTATTGGGTGCTAGAGAAGGTTAAATGAGCATTTAAAGCAAACATAATAGTAATTATTATGCATAATTTAAAATGTTAAGAGTAAGTGGAGTTTAGAATGCTGGCAGAATCAACACACAAAGTTGAACGAATTGAACGAAAGCGCCCTACGCAAACACACTAGATATTCTTCTCAGGCACCAGCACCCACACACTGTATTTATGAGCAGCTCCAGCTCTAAATGGATGTTTTTCCTCCTCTTCGGCCTCAGAGCAATTGTATCGTACTTTTCCTGTTGACAATAATGTCTTATACCAACAGAAATTAATCATTATTTTGTTTTGATATGGCTACATTGCATGTAGGGGAGCAATCTAATTTTTAATCAAAACTAATTGCTTCTCATTAACATCCACTGAATTCTTCCTCGAGCCATCTGACAAAAACAAATATGTTCTCATTTTCTCATCAAGTATCCCTCCCTCCTTTCCTCTTGCACTATATGCATGTCTCTGGGTGAACAGTGTGTGCGCACTGTATGTGTAAAAAATGAAATATGTTACAGGTGTTTGATGATAGGAAAAAAACACCTTTCAGTCTTCCCTTAGGAAAGGTTCTGTACATGGTGTAGATTCAAGTAAAAATAAAAACTTCATGCAACCATATGTTATACAAATTAATTAGCACTGTATATTAATCATGATGATTAAGTAACATGTAATGATTTCTTGTTCTTTGACATCCAATGTGATGCAATTGACAGAATCGCTATCAACAAAGCTAAAAAGCAAAGTTTCATGAAGATGTAATCCTTTGTTAAATCCAGATTGAATTGAACCATAGCACAAACACTTTTTTTGAAAGTCAAGTTTTGTTTTATTTATTAACCACGATGTGTGAAGAACTGTTTTGTTTTCCCAACAGCCAGACGTCTCTGACAGCAAACGTGAGAAGTTCAAAGCCGCTTCTAAAACGATAAGCCACCTTTTCAAACCAAAACTAAACTCTCAGCATGTATATGCTTTTTAAAACTTCCTTTGATCATGTTGACATAAAGGAGGATATAAGGATAAATGTCTTGTTGGATACAATAAGTTAAACCAGTGTCATTTTCATTTTCCAAGCCAATTTCTTGATCCATTTGAAAAAAATACATTTTCCCCTCAAGCCTGTGTTGCCAAGGTTACAGGCCAACCACCAATCAATTGTGAGTATGAGCACCACGCCGTCTCCAACTGATTAAAGAAGATGGTTAAAGTGCAGTCCCTGGCAGCGCAGAGTGTGCCGCGCAGAGTGACACACACACACACACACACACACACACACACACACACACACACACACACACACAAGCCTGGACACAGAGCAACACCCCACTGCTGCTCAGTGAACTTGCAGCATTTCCTGTCTGCCTCCTTCACTTTTCCCTCCATGAGCCCCGAGGATACTCAGCGGCAGAAAGAGAGCATCCACTAACAGGCTGTGAACCCGCCTTCTGGCTCCCCCCATGGCTGTTTACCTTACCCACTAATTACCACATGTTGGTCCATCATCCAAACTGCACTCCCCGTTCTTCTGATTTTTCTCCCTGGGTTTTCATGCATGCGCTAAATATGAATTTCACATCATTAATGGTGTTTGCATTCAGCTGTGGTTTATCTGCAACCATGCAGGAAGTCCTTGTTAAGTGGCGAACAGGCTCGAGGAGACGTGTTTAACCACTTCCTCCGAGTGAGGATGATGTGCCGCGACACCGCCACTCTGTTTGGCCCCCTTCTTTTATAGTAAGGGGGGGACAATGAAGAATATGTTTGTCATCATACCTCACATCAAAGAGGATTCAACAATGTGAATGCAGAATACTCTTGAAATAGAAAATGGTGAAGTTATACCTGCAAACATTGATTTTATTCAAATGGAGCCAGGGAGAAAGCAGGAAAAGAGAGAGCAGGAGGAAGCAGAAAAGACGGGGGCCGCCGAGTGCCGCTTTGCATGAAAGTTAGATGATATTTACTGAACTGGATTCTCCTCAGCCTCCCTGCCCTGAAATGTGTGAAGTTGAATGTAGATAATTTATACAAGGGAAAAAAGCCAGTGAGGTTTTTCACAGTATTTTTTCTTTCCTTCTTATTTTCTTTTTATAATAATAAATGTTAATTTCGAGAATGTTTTTAGATCAAAGAGTCGCATATAGGTCAGGGTTATTGATCTTTGTTTGTTTTGGCTGCCAATATAGTTCTGTTGGTTCTGCCATGTGATCATCTATCTTTCATGTATAGCAGGGTTATAATGTCTATGAATGTTATTCAAGCCAATATCTTAAGATGGTTGCTCAGACGTTAGTGTCTAAAACCGTGTTGTTGAATCAAATCATTATGATGTGGACTTTTAAGATTTTTTACTTGGTAATTTCACTTCTCTGTGAATAGAACAGATTAAATATGTATAACTAGAATAATGTTTACATGTCTTAAAATACATCTGGAGGGATAGTTGAATGCTAACAATTAAAACAGCAGCATTCATCATTATTTAAGTTGCCCAATTCAAACCTTAAATAAGATATGAGATTTTGAAAGTTTTCCAGAGATCGCTGCCTTCTTGGTGTCTTCATATTATTCCCACAAGATCAAAAATGAATAACCAGAGTCAGCCCAGCAATTTTAACTAAAGCAGGGCTGTTTTCAAAAAGAAAGCCTTACAGTTAATGTTATTCCAAAGCACAGACATGATGATGTGGATAGATAATGCACCATATTTAAAAAATGCACTTTTGCTCGACCCCTCATTAATACCATGACAGCTTGTACTAAAAGGATAGTAACATTTTAACGAGCACTGGCTATGAAATCCATCTTATAAATATTCATGTCCAAATTTGATCTTTGCCTTAAATACCGTTTCACTCAGTCTATGTGGAATACAGCAGGCCTATCAAAGAAAACAACGCATTGTTAATGTCATCTCTGCTCTGATAGCCCAGAGGATGAAAAAGCAGGAAAGGAGTCGAGATAAATGTTAAAACACTCTTCATGTCCGCGTCTGAACCCGGGCCAGGACATTTGGCTCTGACCTTGACCACTGGATAAGATCCATCTCTGGGCCGGGTTCCATGCATCACTCTCTGGTGACCACTGACCTCCAACAGTCATTTTATTTTAACTACTCCCATTGCAATCGTCAGCATAGCCGCTTTAACCTTTGTTCTGACAGCAAACTTTACCCGCCCTCTGTGTCTTCCCGAGGAGAAAGAAAGGGTGACTGACAATTGACCACTGTTCCAACCAACCCTTTTTGCGCCAACTATTCATTTTTCAGATCCATCTGTTTACAAGCTGCGAGCCTTTCATTTGATTTACCAACACCAATTAACAAGATCCTCACACGTTGCCATAAAGTAGCCGCGGTGTACTGTCAAAGATGACAGATGGGCTTTGAATAATCAGCAAAGAGTGTTTGATTCAAGATGTTCGCCATGTAGCAGGCTGGAGTCTTTAACTTTGATAGACAAACAACCGAGAGTGGGACTTGAATTGATTGAAAAACATGAAGCGATGGACCTTTTACAAGTGCATCCGTCAGATCACTGGTGAGCGTGCACTGTGATGGAGTGAACCGGCTGACACGTCCCTGCCAGGTAGCAGGATGGCTGAACACCTTGATGGATGAGGAAGTGAATTGATTTCCGTCCGTTTCAAAATTTGAATACGTGTGTGTTGGCCCGAATGAATAGTTAATGTTTCTTAACTTGGAGCGGCTTGCACATGGCAAAAGCTTTCCAATGATGTCATACCGTAGTGAGTCGCTTAAAATCGGTCACCTTTAGCCAAGATATGAAACAGAAAGCAATTAGGCTTTCTCATGCCATTGTGTTTCGGTCAATTTACAGTAAAGGGGTAGAGGATGCTTCCCACAACATCATAGTAAACAACCAGCTTCACTTATTTTCTTTCACTGGCATACATACAAGCCCTCTTCTGTATGTCTGCTTACAGAAAGTCCCTTGTCTCTCGCATATACCTGAGCAGCTCCGCAAGTGCCTCGATCACCCAGTTATCAACCAAACAAAACAGCTAATCAAGTGCAAGTAAGCAAGAGGTGCTCAAGTAGACTTCTTGATTTAAATAGAAACCCCACACATTTCCTTCCTAATGAGACAGAGGTAAGAGTGCAGGCATTGTGTAACAGCAGTAAAGTATTGAAAGGGTCATTGGAGCACGGAGCAAATGAAGCAAGTGTGTAATTACAGCGGGATCAAGGCTCAGACCCCTGACCCGAGATCAGCCTCACAGAGTCATTATTGCATTAATCATTACTCCCCTCTCCGGAAAGTGAGAGCCAAGGTTTGATTAGCTATTCAGAAAATACAATTTATCTTTTTAAATCACACTGTTTTTCTGAATTACTGAATGTCTAATTGACACCCGAG